GATTCGCTCTCTCCCAGAAATTTTCTTCACTCAGCGAAGTTGCAGAGTATAAACTGAGGATGTTGACTGGTGTGTCCGGAAACACGCCATTAATTACTAGCTGACCCATTCCTGAAACCTGTTCTGGGTATGAAGATAACCTACATCTGACAGCAAGGCCTCTGATTGGGAGATTTGAGGAGCGTTGTAACCACCTCTGAATTGATGTTGTTCCCGGGTCCACCCTGACCCGGGGTGGTAGCACCTGTTAGGATCCCAGCAATGGGCAAATAGTGAAGCCCCAAACAAAAATCGACAGTACATTTTTATGATACAATAACTAACAATACATTTTATCTAGAATCTATATATCTGACAAACATACGTTTACTCTGAAAACATGTATATAATATATCTGTATTTGAAGGCATAAATTTGCGTACAAAATATTTAGATTTCGGCATTAAATGACCCATAGAGGTGTTGATATTCCGCTAAACAAAAGCAATCAATCATTCCTGAATAACCTGTGAGTGTCGGCAGAATTCGCTTATTATTTCTATACTATTGTTGTGCGAGTAAAACCTGTAACAGTTTCTGCTTCGGAGAGAGTGCTCCAACATTTCAGGTTTTCAGCAATAATATCTCAGTTAACCCGTGTTAAAACCTGCCCACGTCAACCACAGTCACACTAACGCCTACTTCCAATTTTACATCTGGTTGAGTTTTTTTTTTTTTTGCGCCTTACATTTAGCGGGCGCATGCTCGCGTTGATATTAATTCTTCTGGACCTTTTAGTTTTACTGAACTGTCCTAATCTATGTGAGTTATTGACTATAGAAGAAGAAAAAAAATATTGTTCAAGAATTCATTGTATATCAAATCATGTGTATTATTCAACACGTTGAATACGTAGAGTTGAATCAGCTGGACAAAAACGAACTCATGGCTGAATAAATTTTCATTATATCTTCAATTTTAGAATTTTGTGTTTTTTAAAAATATCATAAGTAAAGTGGCTCAAGGGCGATAAATTTCTCTCGCAAATCCCAAGAATTAAAATAACATTTATTAATATACAATGAATAATAATAATGAGGCCGAGAAGACAACAAGCCCTGAAGAGTGAATATGTTATCTTGATGTGATCACGAAAATACGTAGTAGGCATGACTGAACCAACAACACACAGCTAAGTGATAAACTTCTCCAGATTAATTCTATTAACGCTCTATCCTAACTTTTCATATCGAACACTTTATGACAAAAAACCTGCCAGCCCAAAAGGATTTTCCACCAGTAATAAAAGTAGCATTCTGGCACTTAATAATATATATATATATATATATATATATATATATATGTGTGTTTGTGTGTGTGTGTGTGTGTGTGTGTGTGAAATGTGTATATATATATATATATATATATATATATATATATATATATATATAATTATTAAAAAAAAAATTATAACATAAATATGTTATGAAATCACTACAAAAATAGCCATTTTGTTTCAACACCCCTGGTGTCTTATCAAGTGATGGTGTTGGATGCAAAATTTTTAACATATTTATGTTATAATTTTTTTTTTTAATAATTATATCTGCTCTACTAAGAATAGTAATTGTTGGTTATTGGAATTCATTCCGTATATACCAATTATATACTTGGGTATATATATATATATGTGTGTGTGTGTGTGTGTGTAATTTTTATAGAATTTATATATTATATATGCACGGTACTTATTGGAAAGCGCTCAATATCAGTGATAGAGCTAATATATTTAGTTGGATTGATGTGAGTTTGTGACCCTAGATGTCACCCTATTTGCTATCGTCAGACAAACTAATTAATTTTAAAATTTTGGATTCATATATGGCTGCGTATATTGGAGTTTTTATGGACGTGGGGCGAAAAATTGTCGTCGGAACGCCACTCATACTTACGCAAACATGCATACACGCCTGTACTCTCATTGACGTACGCAGACACATACACACACGCACGCACGCTCTCTCAATGGAGCTCACACAAACAAACATATGTGAACAGTGCGGGACTGGACATATATGCGCATCCATGTCTCGTTGCGTACATGCATACGCATTTGGTCGCTGCATTCAACGTTGGATTTTGTAGCGAATATTTTTCTTTTTTTAGCCCACCATACAACAAAACCATCAAACATAGTAAGGACATTCCTAAACTTAATAGAAAAGCACTTCCCTGAAACAAACCGATTAGCAAAAATATTCAACAAAAATAACGTTAAAATCAGTTACAGCTGCTCAAAAAATATAACACAAATACTAAAAACCACAACAAAAAAGTAACAACCTGCAATAATTCAACCAAGGCACCTCAATGCAACTGCAGATATTAAACAACATGTCCCCTCCAAGGAAACTGCCAACAAACGAATATAATATACAAAGCCAAGGTAAGTGCAAACAACAGCACAATGTACTACATCGGTGCCACTGAAGGACCGTTCAAGAAAAGAAAAAAAACAACCGTGACCTTTCATTCTCCAACAGAAAATACTCAAACAGCTCTACACTATCCACATACATATGGCATCTAAAAGACAGAAATATTACACCAGGAATAAGCTGAAAATTATTGAAAAACGCACATGCCTACAACAACATTACAAAGAAATGCTTACTTTGCTTACACGAAAAGGTAGCAATAATTTCTCATACCCAGCAAAAGAATTTACTAAACATAATACAGACATGAAAACAAATACCTATTATCACAATTTATGCCAAACGGATAAAAAAAACAACCAACACTACTACATAAAGCACCATTGACCCTATAAACATGAAAAGAGAAAGCACTGACACCATAACACCATCAATTATTTTCTAGTTCAAGCTACCACCATAATAATTGTAATTATTGTTATTACTATTCCACCAGCATTACTACAATCACTTCTACCACTTTACAATAACTATTTGCTGCTACAATTGTTATTATCCTCACCCGCTCCCCCAACCATTACTACCACATCACAATTACCATTGCCGTATTAGTCGACAATTACTACGGTATTACAATTACCATTACCGTATCAGTCCAAACTTATACTTACTTCTCCCAGCAAAATGAATACCACCGCATAAATACTAATAATTGTTTTTTCTACCATTTGCATATGAGCAATCGCCAAAAACAGGCAAATAACCGGCTTGAAAATAATAACAAAACAACCTTTAAAAATTGCAAGTAATAGCAATTTTTAGCTATCATAGTCATACACAGACCCCATTATACGTGCGTGCGAGAAAACATTATTCAGCAAACAAAATAGACGAACGGCCTGCGCGTTGACAGCGCAACAAACAAAAAACATTCGCTACACAATCCAACATTGAATACAGCGACCAAAGGCGTACGTATGTACGCAACGACACATGGATGCGCATATATGCCCAATCACACACTGTTTACATATGTTTATGTCTGTGTGAGCTCCAGTGAGTGAGCGTGCGTGTGTGTGTGTCTGCGTACGTCAATGAGTGAACGTGCGTGTATGTATGTTTGCATAAATATGAGTGGCATTCCAACAACAATTTTTCCTCCCACAACCATAAAAACACTGATATACGCAGCCATATATAAATCCAAAATTTAAAGATTAATCAGTTTGTCTGACGATCGCAAATAGCGTGAAACCCAGGGTCACAAACTCACATCAATCCAACTATATATATATATATATATATATATATATATTTGTTAAGGCAATGGAGAACTTTCAGATGGGAATTAACAGGAGATAGCTGATAACTGACATCCATTAAACATGGCACGTGGAACTAGAACAGTCTACCCCAGTGAGCCAAATAAAGGGCTCAGTTCGACATTCCATCCACCTGAAGATAACCGGAGCGTATAACGGCCGAAACGTTGAAATAAATATGGCGACAAAGATGAGGACAATAGTTTGAATAATGTAAATAGTTTAACCTCAAGGGGTTATTTAATGCTGACAAGATTTTTATTACTGATAATATTTTCGTTTTTCAAATATTTATTGCTGATACTATTTTTTAAAAGTATTTCTGGTATTAAAATCTTTTACACTTTCATAGTGTTTTGAGTCAGGTTGTAGGTTTAACTATTTGCCCATAGCTGGGACCCTAACAGGGGCTACCACCCCGAGTCAGGGTGGACCTGGGAACACCAGCAATTAAGAGGTGGTTCCACGCTCCTCAAAACCTCCTGATCCAATGCCGTAGTTTATCGTCTTACCCAGGACTCGGATGTAGTTTATCGTCATACCCAGAACGTAGAGATTCTAGCTACAATGTTAGTGTGTAATATGAATCAACAACTAATCAATGGAAGATTTTCAGATAGGATATGTAGGATCTTTGCTTTCATCTTTTCAAGAACATATGTGGCGCGCAAAAGATGCTAATTTCTGGAACTTCAATCCGTACGGAAAGCTAGAAAAATTAACTCTTGGTAATGATGAAAAATAGATCAAAGTAAGAAAGAAAATTCCTTCCAGATTTTAGTATATTTAGAGAAGAAATCAAGGAAGACAAAAACAAAAGAAATAATGTTTGGCTGCTGCAAATGTCAGCTTCATTTTTGTTTCGACCAATCCACTAAGAAAAACATGTTCCACAATAGAATTAACACCCTACATAAAGAACTGACAATATATTGGTATAAAAGGCAAAGTTTGTCTATTTAGAGTGTTTCATTACCAACGGAACGTTAAATTGATTGATCTATTTGTTTGTTTTACGGCTTATCAACTTTTTACAAGTTATTTAAAGCTAGAAATTATTTTTAGATTGTAAAAATTTTTATAATGATTTACTGATACAAGTCCTATTATTTAACCCATAGCTGAGGAGAGAAGAGTTGGATTCATATTTTTCACACGTATATTTGCGCGTAACTAAATATGACAAACGCGACTGGAATTAGAGCTCGGCTCTCCGATTTCTAATTCTGTAATATGCATTTTACCAGCCGCACATACATTCTTACAACACCTGGTATTCCCAAGAGATCACCCAGCTAGGTACTAACCGGGGTCGAAGTTGTCTAACTTCGGTAATCTTATGAGAACAGGTGTTTGGAAGTGATATGGCTACAAGTCCCGGAAATTTAAAAGGAATATAAAATATATATCCTACCGAAACGCTCCTGTGATAAGAGATGATCTGCTAAAACGGCATTTATTGTTCTTTTTTTTTTATATATTCATCCATCAAATTTCTAGGGAGCAAAAAGAAACGGGACTCATCGAAAGCGACTTGGTTTTTACCACTTTTAACAAATGACTATATTGCAAGGGATTTTCCTTTGTAATTATCGGCAACATTTACGAATATTCAACAGACTAGTTCCGCTTCATGCTGATAACATGACACGAGCAGATTCTGTGGATGAGTGTTCACTCCTGGGACTTTATTGAAAGGCTTCACACTACAAGAGGTAACTGATTCCATACTAAGAGCAAATGTTTAAGCTGACAAAGTCAAAAGAAGACAGAATGTATGGTTATCAGCAAAAAGGAGAGCCCAACATGCGAATTACAAGTTGGAAATATCAAAATTAAGCAAATATAAAAATTTAGATATCTAGAAAGTGTTTTAATGCCGAACGGAAAAAGCGATATTAAAATCCATTGGGATAGCGAATGTATACCTTCTAAAAGCTAAATTAAGAAACAGAAAAATCTTTTGATATGTTTTTATTTTTATGGTAGGGAATGTGTCTTTTGATTCTCTTTAGGGTCGGTTTAGAAGAAAAAACCCTCTGGATTATGAGTGTTGATCGTTTTGAAAGGGTCATATCCCCCTGATTCTTGGATCAAAAATCTTGGTCATCCAAACGAGAGCTCCATTCATTCTCACTATGTCAAGATGAAGTCACTTGGCCCCTTTGAGGAAGGATGCAATCACCGTATTCTAAGGCCCGCCAACAGAGCAGAGGTAAAAAAAAGTCTGAAGAAGGAGTGTAGTCTAGAAACTATAAAGTGTCTAACCTCAGATTTTGTCGAAGATGATTCAGATGATCTACAATATATACAACTGTATCAGAGGGATTTTCTTACTTTCGGAGAAAACTCAGGACCAAGCCTACAACAGAGAACATAACAAACGATTGTGCCATTTTGTGGAGTTGTTGCAGAGAGGAGACTGCAAATATGGATGGATCATGAAAAAGTCAAAACCAGTGGGAAAGTACGCTCTGCTAAATCATCGGACATGCTGTCTATATTTGAATAGCCTTCCGCAGAGAAGGCCATGCATACGGTAACCTTTGATTAAATAAGGTTTAAAGGCTCCAACGTTGCTGATCGCTCATTAAAACTGGGTCCGGTAAAGTATCGGGACGTGCTGTAAAAAAGAAAACTATAGAACATATAAATTCGGCATTTAATGTCCTTCGAAGTAGTCCACACTTTATCCGGCGTCATTTCCATTGATGGAAACCTTCCTGGAACTCTTTTTATCAGATAGCGAGCAACTGCCTCATCACATTCTCTTGGATTTCCCGGACGTCTTGAAATCTTGTTCCTTTCAAGGGGATTTGATTTTTGAAGAGGAAAATGTCGCAAGAGGCGAGATCTGGGGAATATAGTGATCGTCGGACCAGGGGAATGTCCTGCTTGGCCAAAAACCGCTCTAGAAGCCATGGTCACTGATGGAAACCTTGTAGTGTGGTGAGATGACCTCAGTAAGTTTATGACATTTTAGCTTTGTAAAATAATTGATTTACTGTAACTTAATTCGATGAATATCTGTTAAAAAAATAAAGAATTAAATTCAGTTTATTTTTTTAAATGTCTCCATAATAACGAAATTTTTAAAATCATATGAATGTATAGTAGTACTATGACATTTTGGAGCCTTCTAGAACTTTGTGGAACCTTCTAAAACTTTTTTGTGTTTATTTGTAACTTTGTATGTTATGCTATAGCGATAAACTGTTGAATGCCTTAAAAATGCCTAAGTACTATCCAATTGCATCATTAGGAAATTGAAAAATAAAGTTCTCAATTATTTAGAATTTTTACTCGTATTGTGCATATTGTAAAATCGATTTTTCGGTTAGTGCGTGAACTTTTTCAAGAGCTAAAACAAATTAATGTCTTTTTCGTTACTTTTGAACAAAAGTTCATCGATTTATAACAAGAACATAGGGTTACAAAAAAGGCAAAACATAATGGACGCAATTTTCTTTTGCGCACTCCTACAAACAATCATATATATGTGTGTGTGTATGTGTGTTAAAATAAAAGAACAAATAGGGAACGTATATCAAACTAACATATTTTAGTTTCATTAAAGCTTCGCCAGAGATTGAGAGAAAACAGACAAAAATAAAAATTAAAGTTTAATAAAAGTGAAAACTGTGAGATTGATATACGTTTCCAATTTGTTCTTTCATTTTATCTTGTCGGATTCCGATCCATATTTGATCTTTAACTCTCTCTCTCTCTCTCTCTCTCTCCATATATGGAGAGAGAGAGAGAGAGAGTTAAAGATCAAAAGCTACCTTGTTGGGTGGAATTTAAGCTAGGTCTTGATTGGGCCTTCATCGCAATAGGTAAGGAGGAGTAGATGCAATAGGCAACAACAATCTACAAAATTGATCTCTGCATTTAAGTATTGCATTGATATGTAAGCTTATCTTTTAAAAGTTCAACGATAATTCTTCTGCTGCCACTTAATTGAAAGACAATTTGATGTACGTAGATCGTTACTTTCCGTAAAAACAATTATTTTTATTTCATGGTTGAGTTTTGCTGGATTTTGCAATTAATTTCGATTACTCCCAAATTTATTTGCAAGTTATAAAAATTATTATCGTACGAAAGATTTGTCGCAAAAAAAACACCTACAAAAATCGCCGAAAACAATCGTAGTAATGAAAACTTGTGAATCCAAAATTTCAGGATTTCGGGTCCGGGAATCCGGCCTGATTCCAAGTATGTTGGGTTATGGCCTCTAAAAGTAAAGTTGAAAAAGTGTGACTCACTGACATTCGTATTTATTATATAGAAGATTATATATATATATATATATATATATATATATATATATATATATATATATATATATATATATATATATATATAACGTTTATACGTTCTTTTTATAGATACAAATATTTAAGGTCGATTTTACTGTTTTTAAACAACGTATAAACATAAAAAAATGTCTTAAAATAATTGTCGGACTTTGTCCATTTCATAATGTGCGACGTCATTTGTTTATATTTGGATACGCATCGAGCAGATATGAATGTATGAGAAAATCATGAAGAATTGTAGTTTAAAAACAGTAAAATCAACCTTGCTAACCAAAACGCTTCACTGTGGCTCAATCGGTAAAAGCACGTCAGGCTATATGACGGTTCCGCATAGGATACAGGTTCGATTCCTGTCGGAGGACGCATATTTTCTATGAAAATTTCTTGAACATTCAGGCCTGTAAATGTTGTTAATACTGTTTATTATAAATAGAGAATTTACTTAAATATTTCTATCTATAAAAAAAATGTATAAACATAAAAATGTCTTTAAATAATTGTCGGACTTTGTCCATTTCATAATGTGTGACTTCATTTGTTTACATTTGGATACGCATTGAGCCGATATGAATATACGTGAGAGAATCATCGAAGATTGTAGTTTAAAAGCAGTAAAATCGACCTTTCTAACCGAACGATCCTTTGTGGCTCAATCGGTAAAAATAGGTTAGGCTATATGACGGTTCCGTATAAGATACAGGTTCGATTCCTGTCGGAGGACGAATATTTTCTATGAAAATTTCTCGGATATTCAGGTCGGTAAATGTTGTTTAATACTGTTTATTATAAACAGAGCATTTACTTAAATATTTGTATCTATAAAAAGAAAGTATAAACATAAAAAATAATTGTCGGACTTTGTCCATTTTTTATATAATTTTTAAAAGTATGTGGTTCGATGTAGGCATAAAAACAACAAAACAACACTAAAATAATTAGATTTTCTAGATGTCAAACTCAAGCTGAGAAAAGGCACATAGCGACCATATAGAAAACCCAACGATAAACCAGTTTGCATACGCTCTTCTTTCAACCACCTACCAACAATAATCAAGCAGATCCCTCAATAAATCAAGCGCAAGTTATCTGACAACTCTTTGAACGAAATCATTTTCAGAGAAATAAAAAAAAAAAGGTTATAAAAGAGCACTAAAAGAGTTTCGGCAATATTCACATCAATACAACACAGCACAAAAAGGCCAACTTCATGTCGTTCATCCCACCGTACTATCATCATCATCCCCATGACTTGTAATTGTAGGGGAGATCCGAATGCAAAAGCTATACTGAATCTCCTCCAAAACGGTCTATCAACACAGTCATCAGCAATTCTGGTATAGTCATACCTGTCCATTGTTTGACATTGACCAATCAGTTTTTTTTGCGTTGGCGTCCTCTCTTACGTCCACCTTCAAAAGTGCCTTGCATGATTGTCTTAAACAGGTTATCGTGACACAAAAGCGTAAAAACAAATGTAGGAAAAATATTAATTACATTTATACACAAACACTTAAACACCCTCGCAACTAACACTCTTAAGATATTCAACAGGAAAACAGTAAAAATCAGCTACAGTTACACCGAGAAGATGACACAAATAATAAAAAAAGCATAACAGAAAAATTACTCACAAACCACCTGGACAAATAAACCCATCCGTAATGGAAGAGTAAAAACAAATGCCCCTTAAAAGGCACTTGCAATATATCAATCCACTGTAAAATCAGTTGATAATAAAGACAAAATATATAGGAGTAACTGAAGGCCCTAGAAACAAACTACGTACACAAAACATCCTTTAAAATAGTAAGTACGGGAACAGTAGAATGTTTTCTAAACAAGTAAATAATACACGAATTAACAAACTATATATATATATATATATATATATATATATATATATATATATATATATATATATATATATATTATATGCAAATAAATGTAATAATAATAACAATAAAGTAATAAATAATAAATAACGAGCAAATATTAACAACACGATAAAATAATTACAAATGACCGCAATGGAATCCACAATTATAGATAGA